GGCTCCATCATCATTGTTGTGTCCTACGGCAACAACAGTTCGACAGTGCCACCCTGCAAGTGCGACGTCGTACTGTTTAGGCTTAGCAGGCCACAGGGCTAGTCGGTTGGCTGGAATGCCGACTGCATTGGCGATGTGGGTGCGATACTGCATGGGAAGTGTCCCATCGGTATGGTACTGTATGTGCTCGTTTTCATGTACGAGACAATATACATCGTCAGCCGACCGGTCTGGCAGCGCGGCTGGACGACCCCATGGTTGCACTGTGAGCAACATGTAAGGCAAATCGTGCCAGATTGGCTGAGTGCTGGCAGCCCACCTGAAAGTAAGCATGATGCCCGGTGCAGCATGCAGAGAAGTCTCGTCTGGTAGCGGCACTTCGTCATAACCCTCATAATTAGACCTCAATGTCGGGCCTGGGTTGAAGTTCGGCGTTTTGAAAGGCAAAACGCTTGCTGTAATAGTGCGGCACTTGGGCAACGAAGATTCTGCCATCAATGTCAAGGGTATTGAAGCACACAATGGGCTCTGATTGGCGGCAAGCAGGCACCGCTGCTAGCAGGACGACATCAGGCTCAGTCTGCGGGGCAATGGGGATGAGGCAGGGGAAGAGTTCAGCTTTATCCGGGGGCCTAACTTCCCTTACCTTATCAAGAGCCTCTGTAATGGTGGCAGGCAGTTGCAAGTCTACCTGAAGGATTTCCGGCTTGAAATCCTGCGCGAGAATGACAACCGCAAGGGAGGCAGTCTGAGTATGTGAATCCTGCGTGGTTGCAGGCTGCGCACTGTCAGCAACATGTGCACCATCCCTGGTGGTTGTCTCCTCTTGTTCTGGTAGATGTGTCTGTTGGTCGTCACCATGTGGCTGATGGATAGGGACCGCTGCATTGCTCGTATGCTGGGCTGTAGGTAGGAGTCTATCCTGAGGTGACATGCTGACAGCGGAGTCACCGCTCTCAGTGTCGTTACTGGAGCCATGGCATCCTTCAGGACTGGGGGTGGCTTGACGCGGCGGAGTGCGACTACGTGAGCGCTCGCCAGGGTCCTGTGATGTATCCTCGCAATCTGTGGTAGCCTCGTCTCCGGAGACTTCTTCGTCATTCGTGTGTTCTCCAGATTCTTCACCTTCGTGGCTGCTGGAGGAGTCTTCAGCCGACGAGGAAGGCACGAAGTGTGCGGTGATGACATGCCCTGGGTGTAACATCAGCCATTCACCTTCAAGGTGTGCTCCCTCGAGTTGCACATGGTACCCTTCTGGAGCAAAGTGTGACATCTCCTGCGCAAGCTGGGAGTGTGAATATCTCCCATTTTCGGCAATGGCTATATGTATGCCTGTAAGGAGGGGTCTAGCATCAATGATGAAAATGCACTCATACGGCCTGGGCAGACCCGGGGGCACGGGCAGTCGCGAGATGCTGGTAGTGACCCCTACAACTCCAAGGCAGGTAAAACCCGAGAGCGCAACATCACCTATAGCCGGGTGTGCAGGCTGTGTGGTGATCTCATCGGCTGTGAGATCAAAGGCTTCGGAGATGACACGCCTGTACTCGTGTCCTGGTAGACGAGGCCAATCAAGGAGTCTGGGGCCTGTTTCCAGGACGCAACAAAATCTTTTGCCTGGGGGCTCAACTGGCAGCCGGGGCTGTGTACTCCAAACCGCAGAGGTTGTGAGCATTGCACTGAGGATGTGACCGATTCTTGCAGGCTGCCATGCATAAACGAAAAATACACATCCAGCAGTTTCTGCTTCTATCCACTCTTCGTCATCAAGCGGCTGCGGGTGGCCATATGCATAAACATTTATGTGTTCGTGCACCTCGAGCTTGGCTGCACGATATAGGCCCTCTTTGTTGATGCGTCTGGCAATTGGTGCAGCAAAAATTCGACCATCGATATCGGTGAGATCAAGCAAGACAACAGCCTCATTTTTGCACCATACAGGTAGCGCAAGCACTGCGGCCCAGTGCTCTTGCGGCTGGGGATGAACTGGCACAAGGTGAGGATACAGGATGTCACGTTGATGATCTCTGGCCTCAGAAACAGCATCAATGGCCTGTGGTACCTGCATGGGAGCACGCGCGGCAATGCAAACTTCCTCGGGTACACAGTCTACGGCAAATATGACAAAGGTGGCGTAGAGTACGTCTGGTGGACGTGCTGCTTCTGCAACGCCAACAAGAGGCGGCGCGTTATGCGGGACATCAACAAGGTGTGGGTACCTTGCTTGATCTCTAAGGTCTTCAGGCAGTAATGGATTCGACTGGCTTCCTTGGCCATGGGGAAAACGGAGCCTGTCAGCAAGGGAGGGGGCATCCGGTAGCCTGCACTGTATGATGCCTTGTTGTACCTTGTCTTGCTTGGGGTGATAATGCCACACTGCCTTATGGAGGGGGGCTTGGCTTGGACCGGTTTCACATGCTTCGACGCAGCTAGGAAACCCGAAAAACCACTTCCCTAACCAAAAAATCCAACCGAGCACTGCATATGTGGATCGTCTGCGTCTTTGCCTGCGTTGGGTTCTGCGATCAGACCTTGGCTGTTGCCAGACGAGTATGGAACTGTTCGGGTCTGCAACACTGCCGATGGCAAGCACTGCCTCGTACCTGCCGGACACCAGGCATCTGGAAAACATCTTGCCGATTGTCGTTCTCTGTAAATGCAGGGGCCGTATCAGAAATCGGCAGAGACATGCAAGCCCCCAAGTTACGAGCATAAGGACAGTGGAAGGTCGTATGCTGAGGAACACAAGCGCATCTTCCAGGTAGCTCATATGATTAAACATGGGCCCGCTGCCAAAACCGGCGCTGTTATTGCCCAGTGTTTCATGTCTCCTTGGTCTCTGCAAAACTTGAGGCATGCAGCCAAAATTGGCGCAATTGGACCTCTGCGAGCCTGGGGCGATGGAGGAAGGCTGTCTAGCGATACAGAGGCTCCTGAGAATGGGATCTGTACAGCACAGTGCGAAGCGACAAGGCGATTGGTATTGTGGCGGGGGAGGCCTGACAACCACACAAGACCAGTGTGTCGCAGGTCCTCGCGAGGATGACGAAGGGCAAGTCTCCCAAGCGATCGCAAGAACCCAATGCGAGCCTGAGGACTCCCCGGAAGAAGACGGCATTGAGAGGTGTTGGCAGACAAGGCGCTGTACATGACCACCTACATCTGCGCTTACCTGTGAGAAACCATAGGTGATGTCCGTAAGGAAACTTACAGCAATCCGCCAACAAAGGCAGGTGTCATGAACATACCCAAGTCCGTGACACCACCTGTTAGGGAGGACCGCTGTAGTCGCCTGCCGGCACCAGCTATGTCGAAAAGCATGTTGGCCATTCACTCTGACGGTGGTGCGTCTTCGTCTTCGTCTTCCACAATTTGGGTCTTGCCCTTCGGCTTGTCCGTCTTGTCGTTCTTTGGGCCGTGCATGTCTTGATCTCGCTCGTTGTTTGGAGGTGGCCACCCTGACTCCTCTGCTCTTCTCTGTTCCAGCTTCTGCGCGATGGAAGGTCCGGTGGTCGGATATGGCGACACTCTGTTCTGCCCAGCTAGAGCAGCTTTTGCCCTCGCCCGTGGCGAGGCCATCGGCGATGCAACTGCCCCCGTGCCCGGGACCGGTGAGCCTTGATAGGGCATGTTGTTTGTAGCCATTTCCGGTGGCATGCCTGTAAGCTCCTGCTCCGCTGGCGGCCTTGTGTATGCAAACTTTGGATCGGGCAGCTTGGTGGGCTGTGGCTGTGAAGCACTGGAAGGTTCTGCCTCTGCAAAGCCTTCTCGTGGAATCGGCTGGCCAGCTGGTATCCCTGGCGGAGCATAGCCAAAGCCCGGCGCTGCCATCATGGGTGGCGGAGGCCACCCTGCCGCAAACCTCGGATCCAAGTGGTACTGGGTGTAGTCGGCAAGGGGGGACTGAGCATGTATCACCGGATGTGGTGGCTTCTGGATCTGTCGGGCAGCTTCCATTGCTCTCATCATGACAGCTTTCGGGTCCTCTGCCTCTTGCTCGTGTTCCCACTCTGCCAGCATGTTGTCCCACTCTCCCTCGGCTTGTTGACGGTCCTTCTGTGGCATAGGGGTGTCCCCACTGATAGCCGATGCCAGTTGGAGGCGGGCGGCTTCCTGGAGCTGTAAGGCCTTGGCGAGGTCCTCGTCGAGCTTCAACATGTTGTTCTTGTGGCGTTGCTGTTCTTCCAGCCATGCCTTCTTCATTTCGCTCTTCCATGTCTGCCACTGCTGTGCCTTGTGTTCTTTCGTTTGCTTGAGTTGACGGACACGTTGCTCTGCTTTGCGAGTGAGGTTCAGCGACTCTTGGACTTCTGACACGATGGAGCCCTCCGTGACATTCTGGTCCTGACCTTTGGTCTTTGCTTTCCCTCCACCTTTGGGAGCACGCTTGTCCTTCCAGTTGGCCTGGTCGTAGTGCGGAAAAGTCCTGTGGTTGGCCGCCTGTTCTTTGGCTCTGGTAGTATATGCCCCATGCCAATACTGCCAGTAGTCCTGCGTATCTTGCCAATCTTCCGCCCATGCTCCTTGTCCTCGATCTCGACCTCTCCCCATTGTTGGGATGGGTGGTGCCGCGTGGTGGTCGTAGAGCGCTCTTGCTTGGTGCCTGGTCAGGCGTAGTCCTAGTCTTGTTTTTCGCCGTGCCTTTGATCTGAGTGTCCTCCGTTGGCGATGCCAGCGAGGAGACCTCGAAGATTTCGCAATGGCAGCGGCTCTAGAGCGTATCACTTCGGATACTGGGGCTAACAGTTTTCCGACGCTGTTGTCGGCGATCTGAGCCCTCCACAATAATATTGGTAATTATTTAGGCCCATATATTAGCTGCTTTGCTGTTGAGGTCCATGCTAAGTTCGGCAAAAGCCCTTCCAACAGCCCGAACCTCCGAAGACCCCGAGCTTGGTCCCCAAGAGTGGCTGCGAAAACAAGCATGGCGAACACTGCCAGCTGGAGCCGAGCCCTAAACCCTAAAATACATCCCCTTTAAACCCTAAACCGCGACCGGCCTTCAGTTTCTGACAGGCGGTCGTCCAAGCATTGGAGGCCGGTCTCCATGAACCTCTTGACAGGCAAAAGCCACAATCTAGAGGCCAAGGTCCGCAGAGCCGACGCACATGTGTGACCACTACTAGAAGAGCTGTTCTCGCCATCGGCATCTACGACCACGCAGGTACCACTTTGAGGCTGCACCTATCGCGGCGCAGTCTCAAAACCTCTTAACCTCAACTGCTTCCGACTTCCCTGCGTATCACACCGCTTTGAGGCTGCTGGAGTGCGTGACCAAGGCGCCCATGCACAAGAGCCAGGTACTCCCGCTCAACACGAAGGGTATCCTGCGGCCAGCACCATCACCGAAGATGTTGCTGACAGTCTCCGTGACAGACTCTGTGGGTTTGGCCAGATACAGCTCAAGAAGCCTAACCAACACAAATTTTGGCTTAATCGCTGCAAGACCAGGCCCTGAGCTACGTTTGTAATGTGAGTAGAGCGACACCAATGAGAGCAACGGCAAATCTCAGGAAAGAGCGACGAGAAACATCTGGTAGTCATGGTGTCGGATTGTCGGTTCTGTCGCTGTCGATGATTGTGCAGGCACGGTTGGCTAGTCCGGTCATAATCTTCACCGTCAGCAGCAGCATCGTCATCATGATGATGACAATCAGGACCATGATCGTGATCGTTATCTCCGCCACCACCACCACCACCACCACCACCACCACCACCACCACCACCACCACCACCACCACCACCACCACCACCACCACAGCTTCATCAGCACCAGCAAAATCACCAGCATCACCATGTTCATCAGGGTCGGATCTTTCTTTGCGGAGAAAAAAAGTCCAGCGACAACAGTATTGGACTGGCAACACACTCAGTGCCGATGCCAGCAGTAATGCCAAGACTGCTACAGACTAACTAGCACCAGCGGTAGCAGGTGCTGCCTGCTGCCAGCGGAGGTCCATCAATGCTTCATGAGTCTCTGCGTGAAGGACCTGAGTCGAAGGAGCATCTTGCGTCTTACAGGGTGAAGTCTCTGAGTCTCCTTTCACGGTATTTGGAGAAAAGCTTCGGGATTTCTACTTGATTGATTGCTAGGCCGTGGCTGTTCCCGTTTTGAGTTGTGCATCTGAAGGCGTGGAGTGAATGGGTTGGGATAGCATCCGTGTGGTTGTTCTAGCGAGTGCGACCATCCTTGTTGTCACGCGCATGTACTATAGTTGCCTTGATAATTAGACTAGGGCGTTGGGGGGGCGGGGACGTCAACCATTTAGCCGCCCTCTAAGGAACTGCAGACTTCTGTGCGAAATGCCTGAAGCCATGTTTCCGGTGGGTCCTACGGACACGTTGAGGGCAGGGGAATTGCGAGCGACGGTCCCGTAGGTTCAACATTGAACCGATCATGTAGTCAGATTCCCATGCCAAGAAGCCAATCCCGATGAGGCCACATCCAAGCGCCCTGCAAACCAGGAAAAGCAAAAGTAGGAGGGCCGGTTCACAAAGCCTAGCTTCCTTTCACAAGCTCGCGTTGAATACAATCTCTCTGGGGCCTCAACCCGTAGCAGAGTGCCGGCTCATGACGAAGCGTACTCTCCGCAGAAGCGTAGGCAACGCCAAGCTGGAAAGCTAACTAAAAGTGTACGAAGCCTCGAATTCAGCAGAAACCCCGTAAAACCAAAGTCCCCAAAGCCCTGCTTGGCGACTTGAAGGATCCTCGGATGCCAGCTTTAGGCATAAACCCCCAAAGCCCCAGCTTAAGCAGCCCTAAGTCACGAAGAGAAGAAGACAAAAAACAACACCACATCATTCGTAGTGATGCGTGGTCCTACAAGAATGCTTGCACGCAGCGCGCACAAACACATGATCATAACCAGTGCTGAGGATAGAGCTCCCATGGCAACCCCAAGTTCCAAAGATTACTGCGAGCCTCCGAATCCATGGTCCTGACTGCCCACCGTTTCGGAGGCCAGCGAGGATGCCACAAAATGGGAAAGCCTTTGCAAAGGGCTCTCAGGACGGTCCCTCGCGGTCCAAGGCAGCCGGAGGCTGTACTTTGCCCAGCGGGTTCTGAGCTACCAGGGGACTTGGGGAAGACTTGACAAGAGCTCCTCGCCACTTTGCCTTGGAGCCTGAGCCAGCCAACTTGGAAGACATTGGAGCAAATAAAGGCTGTCACAATCAATGTGTTACGGTAAACCCCCCATTGGAGCTCCAAACGGCTTCTGGCAGACCGGTGGGAAGCTAAGACGGGGTGTCATGGCTGGGAACCCTCATCTCTCAGGGTCACGAAGGCCCCTATATTGCGTCGGCTCGAGGCGCCTGCAAAAGCACAGACAATACAGGGATCCTAGAGCAGTCTGGTAAACGGATAGACTCCAATGAATCTTGACCCATACATCCCTTGCTGCAAACCGCATAGAAAGACAGCCGATGGACATGAAACGCCACGAGAACCCTACCTCATGGCTTTCGAAGTCTGGCGCGTCTCACTGCCGTCCACCTGACGCATGAGACTGAGGAGTTGACAGGCGAGAAGCGTTGGAGTTCGAGATTCAGGCAAGTCAGACGAGTTACAAGGGGAACTTACACATGTGGCACCCTCGACGGCGCACAACTTTTTGTTGGGGGGGCATCCAGGGCCTGAAAGTCGTGTATCCACACTTGGCTTCCGCGCCTCCCACCCTGGAGGCTTGTAGATCACAGCCACACCTGCAAGGGCTCAAATGATTTAGCGCTCTGATCTAGTTAAGCCCCGTGACTCCGTGACAGCGACTGTGGTTCACGATGTCACCTGCGAAATAGCTCGTGCTTTCAGCATGCCCCACCTCCCGAATGGTGTTCCAGTCGTGGCGCTTCGCCACCAGCGTCTACCAGCATGGGGCTCCGTGCCTCCGACTGGGTTTGTGCTCAAGCTCTGCAGGAGACATGGCCGTGGCTTTGCAGCACTGAAAGCACCAACAAAGCACCCGATTTTAAACCAACACACATCTCCCGTGAGAGCGAACGAAAGATCTATCGCCCGCGATGCGACTTGGCAAGGCGGATCCGTCGCCCGGGTGCAAGTGTGGCAAGCTATTGTCTTTGAAAGTTTGCATCCGTGTGCGCATGATTGCTGGAGAGGTGTACAGACAGAGATCGCGAGACGAGGGAGAGGCAGAGAGAGAGAGAGAGGGACGGAGACATGCGTACACACAGGAAAATGTATTTATATGCATATGACTTATGACTGCATGTGCATTCATGTAAAGGTCTGTATCTGCGTGTGAATGTCCTTGTCCATATTATAAATGCACTGCATGTATCATCGTATATATAAACATGATAGGCTCATAAGAATGGAAACGAACATAGAAATCACACACTATATTCACTACATGTACACAATAAGTGTACAAGTGCAAGTACAATCGTATGAACATGAGACCGATTGCCAATTGAAATGAACTGATGACCACGAAGAACTGTAACAACATATGTAATTATATATAGTAGACATTGCATACAAGACTGGACTTGCAAACACGGTTTTGCAGTTGCACACATATTTTCAAGACATGCGGTGGTCTAATGCAGCACCAGAGCCGCCTTCACTGCGCAGCGCTGCCCCTTATCAGCACCCAGCCTTCGCCTGGGGCTGCTGTGCTTCACAGGACTGGGCCCTTGGACCCTCTTATCTCAGTATCATGGTTGTGAAGTTCGGTCAATCTTAATACGACTACTACCGCTGTCACAGCACATATGTTACTTACTGGTGTGATTGTGAGGACTATCTTTGTCATGGCCCTTAGAGCCTGGGGTGTGTCAACGCTTCAGCCTCGCGTGTTCTGTGCCACTGAGATTTCTCAGCTTACAGTAAGTCACGTCTATGATGGACTCAAAGTTTGATGCACCAGTCAGACGAATCAGCTTGTTGCTGCAGAGATCGCACATCAGATGACGGTTGGAACTGCTTGCAGGCCAAAGAGCATGGCGACTCGAATCGACTGAAGAAACTCGTCGTCGTTCTCCTGCCTGTCAGAATCCACGCCGAAGGACGCAGGGGTCATCTGAGCATCTTGGCAATACCGGAACTTTCTGAGCACGAAAGCTCCTGATCCGAAATATCTAAACGATCCAAACCATCAACCAAAACAAGCACAAAACTAAGCGCCTTCCCAAAAGCTCCGCGGCATAGGCGAAGGCCCACGCAACATTCGCCAGCAACGCGCCTGCGGCGATGTTTTTTACATCTGAAGTCCACCGAGCAGTTCGATTGTCGGTGTGTCGAACAGGCTTCTCAGACTTCCGTGGCTCACAGCTGGAACATCGCTTAAGTCCCAAAGCCGGATCTCTCCTGAAGAGTTCTGCGCTGCCAAGGATTCCAGGGCTCCTGGATGGCTTAGCCGTGCCTGCACAGGATTTGATGCGGAGCTGGGTGGGGCTCGACATCTAATGTAGGGGCCTAGTAGATGAAAAATTAGCATAGGGTTTTGGGCTCCTTTACAGCTTAACTATAGAAACGAACCCCAAGGAATAGTAATTATTGGCAATTCTTTCAGCTTCTATACTAGAGGCCGGACAATACAGTTCCATCATGAAAAAGATAGTTCGAATCTGATGGCATCTTGTACTGGTTCATTTCCTTCAAGCCGCAGTGTGGCATCATTAAGACACTGCACGTCAGACCCGAATCAACTGCATTGCGGTTGAACGCACGCCCCAACCGGGGAAAACAAAAGCAATGACGCTGCACAGAGCACAAGACTTCCATGAATCAATGAAGGCTTAAAACGGTGCCTTCGCCAGCTCGAAGAACTTGGGCTCATTGATCCCAGCATTAGCCAGGCCCCAGAGGCCTTACCGACGCAAAGACAGCCTAACCGGCACACTGTTGCCTTATCACTACACACTATACAGTATGATCTTGCCATGAATTTAACATAGTACCATTTTACTATACAGCTATACTGCTACTGCAACTGCTACTGCTACTGCGACTGCGACTGCTACTGCCACTGCCACTGTTTCTACTACTACTACTACTACTACTACTACTACTACTACTACTACTACTACTACTACTACTACTACTACTACTACTACGACAATTTCTACTACTACTACTACGACAATTTCTACTACTACTACTACTACTACTACTACTACTACTACTACTACTACTACTACTACTACTACTATTATTACTACTACTACTACTACTACTACTGCTGCTGCTGCTGCTGCTGCTGCTGCTGCTGCTGCTGCTGCTGCTGCTGCTGCTGCTGCTGCTGCTACTGTTACTGCTACCACCACCACTAGCTATAACTATTAAATACTATGGCATTTAAAGGGATACCATCGTCCGACCTCGAGCTAGAGTCATGTTATTCGACTGCTATTTTGCGATGGGTGCCAAGGCAGACATCGCTATGCTGCCTGCAAAGAAAACCGACGGCCTCCTAGTAAGGCTCCCTTTGGGGTTTAGTGAGATCTGTGATGGCTGAAAGTCTGCCGAGGCTCGGGCTGTTCGCCCACTCCAATGGAGAAAGAGCTGATTGCATAGCCTGTCGGCAGAATGGGCCAAGAATGCCCCATGGCACTAGATTGTAGATACGAGCGGGCATGACGAGTGGGCATGACTTGAATCAGACTCAATGCCCGGATCTGGCAACAGTATCAGTGCTTGACCTCCCTGCAGACGTGAGTACGCGAGTTGGACAATCAGAAACGCTTTCCGAAGGGTTCGATAGCCAGGCGACTGTTCCTCGAACTTCCAGCAGACAGGTCCACAAAATCAACCCACGTCAACTGTAGTATAGCTTCCATTTCTACCAAATTAAATAGTATAGTTTCTATTTCTATTTTTGGGCATGGGGAGAAGTTGGCTCCATCCTCCGTCCCCAAACGTCTGCAAGGCACCTGCCGGGCCAAGGTCGGCAGGAGCGGTGGCTGCTCCAAGGTGGAGAGAGCCCAGAGGCTGGTAGCAGCCGCCTGACAGAGGTAAAGAAGGTAAAGCGTAATATTATAGGTGCCTTTTTGGGGTATCTTATACTACAGTACTATTATGGGAACCCTTAAGAATGACATTTGTAATGATTCCGGCTTCTACATTAAGGTGGCAGGGATAAACTTTCGGGACCTGAAGATGCCTGAAGAGTCTACAAGGACTTTGGGACCCAGACACTAACTCAGGGAGTTATGTTAAAGCATTCCAGGGCTCAACAAATGAGGTCTCCTCAAAGGAATCACTATCACACCCCTGCCCTGGCGAAACCTGACATGTCGCCACATTTGGCAGTCTCAAACTCGGGAAAGCACACAGGTGACATTGAATGTTTCCAACCTAGCAGGAAAACCGCCCTTCGCTCATCAAATTGACTACTTTGGTCCTGCGGAAACTGAACCAGACCTGAAACCCCCGTCCCAGCAATCTGCATGGCTTCATACATCGTAGGGATCTTTCCTTCAAGATGCTTCCAACAGCGCAGCATGCAACGGTACGCGAGTGTAGAAGTGGAAGTTGATGACGCACCCTTTATTGCTGCTTTGGGTTCCTGCCTAGGATGTTCGATGGGTCTGCAGAGCGATGCTCATATTCCTGCCTTCAAGGCCAGGAATGCAGCCGATCAAAGCAAAGATGCTGCAACTACGCATGGGGATGTATTGTCTCGGTCTGCAGAGACATACCATTGTCAGAACGCCGCAAGATGTCCCAACCCTACGAAGCCTTAAGCGGCGGCCTGGACGAAGCCTTCCCATGTAGAAGTCGGAATATTGAACAGAGAGTGCGTCGGCAGGACGGTAGTGAAGTTTCTGTCTATGCACGTATGCAGAATATGCATTTAGTACACAGAAGGATTTACGAAACTTGGGCCTGTAGTGTGATGCTTTCTGAGTCAAAATTCATATCCGCTCAGAGTCCGTCCATATACAATTGGAACATGATATACAGTCAGACCCTATTTTAGTTATCAAAGGGCCTATGTAATCCTCTCGTTGGCCTGGCCCTGCCTGGCTCCTATGCAGCCGGACCCCCTTTTAGCTATCAAAAACCCTATATATTAACCTCTCGATGGCTTGGCCCTGCCTGGCCACTTAGGGCTCCGAAATGCGCTTGGCCCAGCGCTGGAAGCGGCAAACGAAGGGTAGCCGAGGCCCACAGGAACTGGGCTAAGTCCTGCTTGGGGCTTAGGGGCTCAGGATGACGTCACATGGCAACTTTCGACCCATCCTTCGCAATTCCTATGGGTGGAACTGCTGATGTAGATGTTGGTAGCACGCCTCCGCGATGTGCTGCGTGAGGGTGCAGCAGCTTCATGTCAAGCACGGTGGGATAAGATTGGAGGAAAACGATCTGCTGGATGGTGAGGCTTGCAACCCTCCAGGCTAAACCCCAAGTTGAGGTGCGATGCTTGCGGTGTCACCACGGATGGAAGCCTTGGATTTTGTTTCCGAAAGTCAGGCTGTCTCCGAGATTCCATTGTTTTTGGCTTCTCCGGCCATTGGTCGATACTCTCAAAGGACACGACACATGCAAACGATAGAGGCAGTGCACATCTTCGACAAGCTTGACGCAAACCCCCCGCAAGAACCCACTTGTAAGAAGGCGATACCCGTCTCGGAGACCAGAAATGAGGCGGTAGTAATGCATCGCAGTATTCTTGTAACGAACCCATTCACCTCCAGACAAGTCCTGGGGTCCAGCAGTGGTGGCGTTTGCCTCGAAGGTGTCGCTAAGCCTGTGCTTGGTTCAGCAAGGGCGATGACTTGGCGACCAAAATATGCAAAACGATGCACCTTCTGTCTATGCTTTATCTTGGCTGTGGCTCGTGGCAAGGCCAAAATAAACTTCCACAATTGTCCCGTCCCGGCCCACAGCATGAATCGAGCATGCGCAACCAAGGCCGCGGGACAGGTCCTCGATTCAATTGCAAGCCAGCAGCAGGCCATGCGTGGCCCTAGGCGGGCATATTCGCACCGTCGCCTCGTGCAGCAACTGAGCAATGCTTCCACAGCACTCCAATTGCTGCACATGTCTGTGACCCGTGAATCTCAAGCATCCACGAGTGGAGCCTAGATAGGCAGGAAATCTGCGCAACAAGTGCGTTGCCCACAACACAGAGTATGGCAGCCAAGTCTCACATGGATATGAGGGGTGCTTCGAAAATCAGCATTGGCACAGTCCAAGAGTTTTGCAGATGTCTGGCTATTCTTCACGGCGTGTGTGCATGAATTGGCGAAGCTAGCCAACTACGAAGCCAGGACTGTCTACTCTGGGATTACCGGGAGATTTAAACTCTTTGCTGCAGCATGGCATAAGCCCAAAGAGTAGTGGCGATACTCCGGCTGCACCAATGCACGCCTTGGTTGCATGCATGGCATGCGTGAGGACTCTCATACCAAGGTTACAAAGGCTGTCAGGCAGTGCATGCGAATGTCAAACCACAGGACACAGGCTCTCCCTGGATTCCCCAGATTTCTTCCGCCAGGTCACGTTTCCCAGTGGAAGGTGAACATGCAAACATCCGCACGCAACGCAGAACAGCTGCGGCCCACAGTGTGTTTGACACATCCTGCATCTTGGGCTGTCGGTGCTTGAGAGCCGAATTTCAACATAGACCACCCCACGAGATGGCAGGTTGTCGATGTACCGCACTCACCACAGTCTCTACCGCAGAAACTGAATTCTAGGCTTCCTGACTCCTCCTTCCCCCAAGCCAGAAACCCCTAAGGAGACTTTTCAAACTGCAAGATGCTGCAACCCTTCAGCGTGTGGTAAAGGAGCAGCACTAGGACTGCCACTGGCATGCCTATGAGCGGATCTGCACTCCTATTCCGTTCGCCGTACTGCCATCTTGCGACTCGGCATTGGCGATCACCTGCTGCTTCTCATGCTAATCTGCATATGCCGCTGATCCATGTTATCAGTTGTATTATTCACTACACTATATGTGCGTACATATATACATAATAATATATACATACATGCATACGTGCAGCATAGATACATACGTACATGCGTACATACATATCTATGCTTACATACATACATATATAAACCTATCACGTATGCATGACTGTGCTTATCTTGGTCAGTCCTGCGGGTGCATGCGGGCCAAGGTGTACTCGGCGGAAAGGATAGGAAATGCGTGCTGGAGCCTGCGGCCGAACAACAACACAAGTGGACATTTGAGGAGGGAGATGAAACGAGCCTGCAACCCGCGATGTAGGCCGCAATTGCTCGTGTTTCTGTTTGATGAGCTGCGGCTGTCTTTCCTTCGGAGTGCTGTTCAGCAATCTTCCTCTTTCGTGCTGCATTTGTTTCCTTTCGGACTCTTTCTCTTTCACTGCTTGGCGTGTACGGAGGCGGCAGGTGCGTGATGTGATATCATGTTGTGAGCAAGAACGGGATAAAGGGTGCGGGAGGGTTTTCTCTCTTTCGCTTGCTGCACAACGGACACACCCTGTGTCAGTGCTGTAAAAAGCTTAGGCCTGAAACCGTGCCTGCTGCCGCGCGGCAGCTTCGTCGTCGGGGATAGCTCTATCTGCTTTATCATCAGTATAAGGGTTGTCTCGATTTTGCTGTTGCCGTTGCTGTTGCGGCTGCTGCTGCTGCGGTGATGTTGGTGGCGGTGGCTGTGGTGGGTGTTGTTGTTGTTGTTGCTGCTGTCTTGCTGTGTTGCTGTTGCGCCCAGGGGTGCGGGTTCAAGCGCTGATCTTCGATCGAAGGACAAAGACTTGGACCTTGTCAGCAAACCTTATAACTTACTGAATCCGATACGAAGATACCCTCAACAGAGCTCCTGCCCGTCCTGCAATCCTACAGCCCGTTTCAATCACGCCACGGCACGTCCTACAGCCCAGCACAACAACAAGCAAGACAGTTTACCTCAAAGCCTAGAAATGCCCAGAAAGCTCCTGAGTAAACAAAACTCGGAGCCTTGCTGCAGCCCACGCTGCCGCAGAGACGGCTGCTGGGCTTGCCGCCGCTGGCTGGGCCTGGCGACTGTCTGCAGGCGTAGCATTGAAGTCAGGATTTTCGAAGTGTTCATGCTGCTTAGACTTGCTGGGCTGGAGATGTTGGGAATTGAAGCTCCATGCAGGTTCAATGTCAAAAGCACCGAGCTTCAGAAACTTGCAGCCGTTATTCAGACCTTCGCAGTTGAAGCAACCGACAGAAGCAAAACCAACAACTGAACAGCTGAATCTACTCTCTTTATTTCCTGTGCGAAAGCTCTGGTCTGCTGTCTCAGTCTGAAGCACCAGGAATCGAGCCTTAAAGAGCTCCACACACCGGAAGGAGCACTTATACATCAGCCGACACTGAGTCGAACCCGCCCCGAACATGAGAAATGATCTTGCCAACATCCATCGTCTTTCGAGGCCCGAAAACAACGCAGCTGCAGCTCCATGCTGCAAGCTGCACTTATAACTTGTAGCTCTCGACATGTCACAGCTTTGGAGCTTAAGTAGGGGCTTTGTCAAGCCGTGCGCCTCCAGGCGCATGCAGATCTGAGAAAGCAGCTCCTGGCCAGAGATGTGATCTTGTTCAGGCTGGCCGACAGGAACAGCCAGACAACTTCGAAGCAGACAGTGCAAACGAGAGATATGCATTATGTACGTGACTGTAAACCATACGTAAACCTTTTTGAACCGTAGACAGTATATTCATAGTATGTCATGATGACATTAATAGTATGAAGATAATAGAAACCGATCTCCGCGCCCTGCACCCAAAAACCCGGAGATCCTTGGCCACAGGCGCATCCCCAGGCAGCCTGGAGAGGCGGCCGAAGGCCCAGGCCTCTTCGTTTCATACGGGAGTTTCCAAAAGTAGGGGTACCTTATAATAAGGATCCTACTATTCGGGGTATTATATTTGGGTCCCCTATTTTCGGAAACTCCCATATAGGCGGCCGTAAAAATTGAAATAAGGTTGGGGCTGCCAGAGACGATATAGTTATAGCGCGGAAGCCCAAAGAATAATGCAGTGTGGTACTGTATTCTGGGCTCTGGACCCTGTGTTAATTAGTTAGCTCCTCTTCGAAACACTCGATCAACATTCCGTTGTTAGAGCTGCCTAGATCCATAAGCAAAATACGACGCAAGCGGAACGAAAGTACCTGACATCGCTTGGTTGTGGTCTGCAATAGGGACGTGAAGGTGTCAGGATGTGTGGATCTTGGGGTTCTGCTTTCAGCTCGGCTTCGCCGCTAGGGAATTTCAGGTGAGTGGCTGCTACATAGGGCCAGATGAGGTCAAAGCCCTAAGTGTTTAGCTGAAGACTTTGCGACATCAGGCCAGGCATCTACCGCAAAGCCAAGCTCCGACTTGCAGATTAGAGCTAGACTTTGCGCGTGATTATGAACCTTCCTTGGCTTGCCGCATCCCAGGATACATGCGACACTTGTGAAAGCTTGCGGGCACTGGCAAAGGCTGAGCGGCGGTTTGAAATTCTCTATCTTCCATGGCCAGACCCCCCCAACCTCTAAACCAGAACCCTTCGGCTGCGCAGTATGGCTAAACACAGAACGATCCCTGGCCTGTTTGGCCAATTGAAGTCCGGTTGCTCGTGGAATCCTTGTCGACAGTTCGGGTTCAGGGGTCCCGATCTTGCAGGACTGGGGCCTTGGGGCTTTCGGGTCTTGGAAGTCTGGAGAAATGATACAACCTTTTCGGGGCTGCCCCCGCCTGCCACCACCACCACCACCCCGCCGCCACCACCGCCACCGCCGCCATCACCACCAGCAGCACCACCACCAGCAGCACCACCAGCAGCAGCAGCAGCACCACCACCACCGCCACCACCACCACCACCACCACCACCACCACCACCACCACCACCACCACCACCACCACCACCACCACCACCACCACCACCACCACCACCACCACCACCACCACCACCACCACCACCACCACCACCACCACCACCATTATCATCACCATCACCATCATCATCATCATCACCACCACCGGCAACAGCAACAGCAACCACGGAAGCAGCAGCAGCACCACCACCGCCACCTGCCACTACCACGACCAAAAAGAACCACGACAAGGACCACCACAACAACAGCAGCAAGAGCAGCAGTTGCAGCAACAACGGCAACAGCAAACAAAATTATGCAAACCCGATTGACGGTGTAATCAGCCGTAAGCGCCACCTTGCAAAACACGACCAACCTTAGCGCACACTGTCAAACCATGCAGCAGACTGAACAGAGGTCTGCATCCAAGGCTTTGCTACGCAATGTGACCATGAACCATGAAGCCACGATGAACACCAAATAGTCACCACCACAATCCTCCACAACAACAGTGAAAGTGCAGAAGACAGAACTAGTATCGGGGCCTTAATGAGTAGAATGGGGCTTCAATAGGGTTTGGGGGCCCATTATACTATAGTTTTAATATGGATCCCCCGAAATCGTACAGGTATTAAGCCCGCTACATTAAACACCACTGAAGTTTAGCGGCCTCTTGGCTAAAACACTGCGGAGCTGTTGAAGCCCGGGTCGATGTCCCCAGGCGAGGCGGTGTATCAGTGTCGTGAGTGTGGAGACGTCCTTAGAGGTGCAAATGGGTGTGCTTCTACTCTTGCTGTTGCCCACTTCTGCCATTGCTACTGCTACGACGACGACTCCTACTCCTCCTACATACTCCTGCATACTCATGCTACTACTACTACTGCTGCTGCTGCTACTACTACTACTACGACGACGACTACTACTACTACTTATGCGGTTTATGTCTCTCAAGGCTGCTCGGACTTGCTCGGACGTTGTAATTTCAACTGAAATCCAAGAATGCCGGTCAACTAGGGATCAGTTTTTCTCATGAAATATTGAGAGAAGCTCCTTTGAAATTGCCGGCCATGTCACGAGATGGTCACATTCGGCTGGACCAAGCTGTCCCAACAGCTTCTCCAGCTCTGCTGGCCTGGAATGAGCACTTTGTCGCGAAGAAGTTGGAAGCTCCTCTTAAAATGGAGCAGCCTATATTCACACAGTTGCAAGGCCCAGGTGCGATGCCGCCGCAGCCAGCTTCGATCGCAGCTGCCGCGTCATGGTGGTTGTTTCTATTCTGCTGGGTCGACAATCACAGGGATATTTTACAGATTGTCGTGCGGATGGATAGACTGATAGATCAAACAACGAAAGTGTCACCCTGTAGACATATCATCTGTGATCTTTGGTTCATGCACGCGCTCATGTCATACACACAGACTAACTCTCTTTCTATCTCTCTTGTGTGCTTCCTGGTGTTAAGTCTTGGCTGCATGTTGCGACGTAGTTCTGCGGTTGCCTGTAGTTCCGGCTGCCACATGTCATCATGAACCTACCTACACTCCGACGGAATTACCATATGGAGCAGCTGCCTTTCAGTTTAGTGTCGGTGTGGTGTCTCGGGGAGAACTCGCAAGAAACAGGGTGCCTGAAGCAAGGGCTTCGTGGCATCGTCAGTGTCCTTCTTCAGCGTTTGAATCAGAGGCTTGAGAAAGTGGCAGGGTTTGCGAATGGAGGAGATACGACCAATAACATCTGCACAGTACAGCTCATGTTCCGCTGATGGTGACCTCGCGGAATGCTGACATCTGTTGCATGTAACTACAAGCATGATAGGTGTAAGCGACTGTACAGTCACAAGCTTCGTGCCTGACCGCATTATCCCGCTGGCGGCGCAGTGCATCTGCCTCTGCCTGGTTGTGTCGTTTGGCTTCAGGTCTCGATGAGATCCGCCGAGGCTCCGGCGTCTACGGGAAGAAACGAAGCTTTGCCCACTCCCAACGCTCAACGGCCACTTCATCGGCAGAGGTGGGGTCAACTGGCGACGGGCATCATTGTCTTTAGCCACCATTAGTATGAGTTTGGCAGTCAAAGCCCTGCACTCCGAAGCTCAGCTCCCAAGGCAGCCCCAGTCCCAGCGGAAAACCGACAGCAGCTCATTGTGTCTTTGAACTCTGTTTGCGTGTTCATTTTCTCTTCTCCCTCTCCATGGGCATGCATGAGGAATGCCACTCTTCGGGTTCTGGGCTTAGGCAAGCCTGGAGATACCTTATAGTGCAAGGTTCTCCTTGTTTTGAGGGTCATACACTTTAGGGTCCATGTTCGGGTTCCCGATTCTCGGTTATCTCCGAGAAACTCATGCCCAATGCATAGGACTAATCGCTTCCCCCTAGCCCAGCCCAGCTCTCCTGCTGCAGCAGCCAATAACGCCCCCCTAATATTCAAACCCTCCCCCTAATATTAACCCCCCCCCTAATACCCCCCCTAATATCAAAATCTTAGGGGGAAGGGATTACCCCCGTGTGCCTTGCTCTTCGACAGCGAGAGCTCGGAAGCAGCTTGGGCCAACTCAGCTGCCTGGACAGACTCTGGGCATAGTTGCTGGATGCAACTCCTAGAGGCATATATATATATATATATATATATAGAATATGGAATTGGGTCCCCAAAACCATGATATGGATGGTCTTTTGGGACCTAGTTCCATAATGGTACTATATATGGGGCCTCTGGGACTGCTACTCGTATTATTGGTACTACTTCTATGGTTACCAGCAATGCGACTTTTGTGGCTTGTCTCCTTTGGCACTGCTGTGTGTCTTAACGTGTCGCCACAGATCTCCAAGCCTCAGCTGACAACAGTCTAGCTGCTCGTCACAAAGCTGGCGCGTTCGACGACCGGCAGCGGTTTGCTTAAAACTTTGAAAGTCGCGAAAAGCTCAACATAGATACTCGAGACTCACTCGCATGGCGCACCCCAGCATTGCGTGAGACAGGGAACTGGCGTCCTCATTGCCACGCCACTAGGCGAACATTTCACTGCTACACCTAAGTCAGCTCATTTAGCCTTCGACAAGCCCCTCAACTCCCTTCGTCGCTGCAATCTCCCGGTCCTTCTCAAACTCATCGCGCTGTCGGGCTAAGGCCAATTGGAGAGCCTGGACTCGCTCGCGAAAAATTGATTTTGTTACAGGAGTTGCAAGGCGTACGCACGTGGTGGGATGCCTGCTTGCATTTCAACGCAGTGTGGCGTACAAAGGCTTCCAGCTCTCCTGGCAATGTGTTTAAGTTTGGACGTCGAGACGGGATTCGTGGTGGTGGTGCTGGTGCTGGTGCTGGTGCTGGTGCTGGTGCCGGTGCCGGTGCCGGTGCTGGTGGTTGGTGGTGGTGGTGGCGGTGGTGGTGGCAGCAGTCGTAGTACAAGTAGCAGTAGCAGGAGCGGCAGAAGTTGTCGTCGTAAGAACAGGAACCCACGGAGGCACTCCTAGCATGCAGGGAGGTCAAAAAAGGTGGAGGAGGAGGAGGAGGAGGAGGAGGAGGAGGAGGAGGGGGAGGAGGGGGCGGAGAAGGGGTCCCCGACACAGAATCTTGGCCTGAGTTGGGAAATGTTGGGACGCGCACCTGCTCCTGATGGCTCCGCTGCTGCCTGAGCTCCTGCAGCCGTTTCTCATCGTTCGTTTCATGCTATCGACTTGCTGCGGATTTGGCAGTCGCTCG